CGAAAGGCTGCTCGCACATCTGACACGCAGTTTTCTTTTTCCCATTCTTGTATCACCTGAGTCTGTTCGGCCGAAAAGGTTTTCTCAAGAGCAAGATACATCTTGTAATACTTCCAACATTTTCCGGTGCTTAGACAAGCTTTCAACGTCTTATATTCCAGCACCTTCAAAGTCGCCGCTTCCTTCTCGATGTATGACAACAGATCAGCAAAGGTCCCCGATTGCGCCATGGCTCCACCGCGTCTTAGGAAACGGGCCGCACTGCCACGTCTCCTTGCGCACTGCGACGTCCGAAATTATGAGCATGGCTGTCTCATCATGCATACCTTTCTCATCCACTAACCTTTCCAAAACATGAGAAAATCTTCGTGTCTAACCATGAGACCTGAAGACATGACACCTCTAACAAATGCGCGTTCCCAATTCTTTCTTGCTACACATGTTTGCCTCCTGGAAAATGCAAACAGCTGCGGCCACAACACATCGCCACCGTGGTTTCTAATCAAGAGTTCTATAGCTTGTTCCTGAATATCAATGTCACAACATTTACCTACATCAATATCGCACACAAAACTCGAAATAGCAACCTACATCCACGAACTAGCTGACAAACTACTTCCCAGTACTACTTCTCAGTATATACTACTTGGTACTACACAGCTTGCACCCAATACTACTTTGCACTACAAAGCTTGCAAAAATTACTTCCCAGTACTACTTTGTACCACAAAACTTGCACAAAGTACTCCCCAGTACTACTTTGTACTACAAAGCTTGCACAAAGTCCTTCCCAGTATACTACAATTTGCAGTGAAAATTGCTTGTCAAAGTTGATTTTCATGTCCCAACCTCGAGGTGTGGAAGGGTTCCCAGTTGAATTCCGCAAAACATGGAAGAAAACTTGGGGTTTCATGTTCGGCCGCCACATTTTTACAGAAGATGAATATGTCAACTACATCGGCCGTCGTGGCGCATTTCGTGGCCTGCTGACCTGGAAGGGCACCGTCCAAGTTCCTTTTGATGGCACTCTCGAATTCCTTGAAAAGCTTTATGAGGAAAACCTCCCATTGGTTCGGGGCAACCTTGAGCGCAAGGAGAAACAGAGCGCTGCTGCAAAGGCTGGAGGCCCTGGAGGTCAAAAGGCCGACCCCACGGTCGCGCCCGCCATCGAGCGAAAACGCAAAGCCGAAGTTGACGCATCCGCCACTGAACATGATGACACAGCCGCCTCAAGCTCTGCTCACGCAGACGCCTCGCACGCTGATGCCTTAGTTGGTCCCAAAGCAGCACCATTTCTTGCACCAGAGCCACCAACACCCAAAGGAGGAGCACGACCATTCTTGGAGCCTGAGACGCCGCCCACTGCAAAAGCAGCAAGCACAGTCACATCGAAGGCTGCAAGCTCCGGTCGCCCGGATGCCTCTTGGAGTTGGAATCGTGATCACTATGGTGCACGTCGAGAATGGAGTTTCTGGCGTGGGGCTTGGTATTACCGTGACGAGGCCGGCGGCCGTTGGATCTATTGGAACCGCAGGTAGACGATGATTTTCTTTTGTAGCATAGCGCAAGATGCGGCATGGTAATGTGCCTTCCTTGCAACGCTGCGCTGGGTTTTACGGGCTTGAGCTTTTTAAAGGGACCTTTGAAAGACTGCATAAAAATGTCTAAAACCAAATAAAGAAAGTTGGCTACCCGCGAGGGTATGCTCTTCTGGGTTATTCGTTCTCCGCAGTCGTCCCTGCTCGCCCGAGGGGGGTGTAAAAACTCCTGCAGTAAAACCATGTATTGTATATATCATCGTACTACTCTGTAGCGTTGGTTCAAAACAGTGCCAGCAGCTTAGCGGTTACTTGCCCCCATTGTTATTGTAACATATTGGTGGCTGACCTTGTAAAATACATTATCTTCTTTGTTTCATCCTTTTCAATGAGCTGAGTTGAATTTCCAGGTGCTTTTGGTATTTCACCAGCTCTTGACAGCTCTTGTGAGTGGCCATCAGGAATGCCATCCTCACAGCTCTCAGCATCGCTTGCTCCCGTGCGGAAGAGATGAGTGGAGGCAATGGAAAAGCCGAGGTTCGAATTACCCAGGCCTGGTCCATCCTGGTCCTGTTGGCCTCCCAGATTTGGCTGCTACCGGCTTGACAAACCAACATATTTGTCATCCATTGTTCACCCATTTTCTTCCATTTTGAATGGTCAGATATGGTAAGATTTTCTGACATCATGGGCGTGTTCCAGTTCTGGCCATGGCTGTCTTCAAAGATGCTATGATTGGCCGTTTTTGGGGTAGGCAGCACACACACACACACGCACTCAAGTTTGTTGTTGGATGATTGCATTAAACATATAGACCATTGCCGATATTTTAAACATGGCGATGAATCAATTATAGATAACTGAGCGGTAACTAACTAAGCATGCGCAAAGATTCATTTAGCATTACACATAGTATAGAATATAAGTATATAAATATGCGTGTGTGTATTTGTATATGTCTGTTATCCTAACAAAATCCCATGACAATCCCATGCTATACACCATGATCATCAATAATATATCCATGTTACAGGTACTAATCCCCATTAATATCCAGAATTGAATAATTGACAATATCGACATTTCCAACAAGTAATATACACCAAAATGGTACTAATCAGCAATATCCATAATATACTGTAGTAATTATAAAATAAGTAATCCCATCATATTCATTAATGATTCCATTAATTATCAACTAATTATCAGTCAATTCTCCATATATCCATTATTCATCAATTAATGGAATCATGGATATATGGAGAATTGATTATTTATCATTAATCATTCTCCATTAATCATCAATTTATATTTCCATTTCCCAATGGATTTCCCATTGCTAGGACGACTTGGCGCGGGGCGCCCAGCTGCAGCTGCGCGGCCGCCTGGCCATGCGTAGCTTCGAGCGCCGCATCGTGCCACGCAGCGGCCTGGAGATCTTGGCGCCTCGGTGGTTTTTTTAAAAGATGGGGAAAACATGGGGAAAACATGGGGAAAAATGATGAAAACCGGGGATCAAATGATCAACTCATGATTTTTCTATGAAAAACCCCAATAGAAATATAGGAAACATGGGGATTAAACATGATGAAACTGTCAAAGATGATGTTTACACGGAAAATGAGGATTTGACATGATTTCATTTGACAAACAGAAAGAGAAATTAGAGATTCGATCGAGAAGACACGTGTTGTCCAACTAATAAATGAGCGATTTCCCCAACAACATGCTGGAATCTGAAGCATAGGATTTAAGCAACCAACACTCCGGGATGCACTAACATATACTATATATATACTCTCTCTCTATATCTATATATATATATATACTATATATATACTATATATATACTATATATATATATATTATATCGCATATCGAAAATGCCCTGGATTATCCTATTGGGGTTGGTCTATTTTCCTACAGCCTTCATGTGGGTCAGTCATGAGCCATGATGCCTAGGTCTGTGTGCCACAGCTGCGGAAAAAACTGCAGCTGGCTGTGAATTTGGATGGTGCGGACTATGGGAAGGGATTGCCCAGAGATTTCTGAAGATCCAAAAGATTCCAAAAGGCTAACATTAAATTGGGATGGGGTCCAAAATGAATATCAACCATATATCATCAACCATATATATATATTATAATGTCCACATGATAATCAAACACCAATTTGATGCAGGCTATTCTATGGCACCTGAGGCAAGAAGTCATCGACTTCGAGAAGTCCAAGACGGTGCTTTATGGCCAATGGGGCTTCGGTGGCCGAACCGCCTTCAGCGGTGGGCAGCCCGAGACTTGTCAGATGATTTGTTCATGCCTAGATGCACCTCAGGTACTAGTAGCACAAGAGAACAGTAGGACTAGGAACGAGACCTCCATCAACGGGAAAAACTGTGGATTAACATGCTTTGATCAACATTGGTAACTATTGGTAACTATTGGTAACTATTGGTAACTATTGGTATCATTTTTGATCCACCCCCATTAAATCAATGATTGATCCTAATCAGTACAATCAGCAAAGATCAGTGGAAGATTTTTGATCCTCTTGGTGACGGGTCAGGAGATCGGGTCCTGTGTCCTCTTTTATGGACCTCCTGGCACCGGAAAATCTTTGGCGGCTCAAGCCATTGGCTTCGAGGCATGTTGAACTCACTGGTGTCCAGAAAATGGCCGATGACTTTGACAGGATCATCGCGTACAAATTGCTGGTTGCCATGAAATGCTGATTTGCTGAGAGTTTCTGGATACCCTCTGGTAATTTGCCAGTTGGAGAACTGGAAAATGGCCCATAGAAATAGTTGATTTACCTATTACCAGTGGGTGATTTTCCATAGTTATGTTGGTATATATCACAATCTTTAATAGGTAAATCAACTATTTCTATGGTCAATGGACTGGTTTAAGGGAAAATCTACAAGAAACCATCGATTTTCCCAGTAAATATGGAGTTTTCCTGTAAATTTTCCCTTAAACCAATCCATTTCTATGGGCAATTTTCCATAAATTACCGGGTATATCACCTGATACCAAACGCCAGGTTGGTCGGGCCTTGAAGGTGGTGAACTCTGCCAATATCGTGGATAAGCCGCTGGGGAAAAAATGAAGCGGCACATCATGGCACATCCCAAAGAAAATGGTGATTTAATATGGGCTTAATGGTGGTTTTATGGTAGTTTTATGGTGGCTTAATGGTGGCTTAATGGGAATTAACCATATTTAGGATATTTAAACTTGAAGAATGGGCAAGCAGCCTCCGGTTATTTAGCGTCGCCACGGAACGCGGGCCCATTTATAGATGAGTTGCCTATTAAAAAGATGAAATTGTGCTTTTCAATATATTAAATTACCAGATAGTATACGAAATAGGGTGAACATCCCAACATATACCAACAATCCAGACATGTCCAGAATGTGAGCTAGACGATGATCAGAATGTATAGGTCCTATAGGTACTCCAATGCCGTTCACGTCCTTGTGCCGTTTGGCAAGCGTTGCGAGGTATGTGGGGGAGACAGGTAAGAACATTGAGAAGGTCTTTGCCGAGGCTGAGGGGCTGGTGTGCAGCCTTGAGCATAGAGGGTGGAATCAGCTACTCAGTAGCTGCTACTGGCAGTAGCAAATAACAAGCATCAGCCAACAATGCTTGGGGGTACTGGTACTCATGGATATCTGGATATTTACCTGATTCAAGTGATTTGAGCATTCTTACCGGGGATCATTAAACCCTACGATTTTTCTTGGATATTATGATATTACCTTTCTCAGACTAGCATGGAAACCCCACAAATGCCAATTGGCACTGGTAAAACCATGGAACATTTTCTTCCAGACCAATTTTTTGGACTTCCGTGTTAGTTTTCAGGCGTGTCAACACACCCGAATCCCTCTTTTTCTTTGGGTAGTACAATCCCACCCCCTCCAAAAGCACCACAACAAACCAGCACTTTTTAGGCTCATCATCGGCCAAGAAAATTGAAATGTTCCATAAACATACACATCCGATCCTCAGGATATAGCCTCCAGTAAACAAACATAGTTTTGGAAAATTATGAACGTTGCCCATTTCTTTCCATGATTTACCTATTAAAACCTCCATTTCTATTGTGATTTTCAATGGATTTCCCATGGATTTCCCAAGGCCCTCTGGGTGACTGGAGGATGTCAGACTGCCACAGGCACGTTCCATGGAGGCGATCCTGGTCTTCGACGAGGCCGAAGGCCTCTTCGGTCGCAGAAATGCCGAGGCCGCCAGCAGCGTGGATAAGCGCCTCGATGGATGGTGGGGAATGGATCTGGGCGCCCATCATGAATCATGGCATGTCATGGTGTATATTTAATGAATAAATAGAAAAGTGCACATATATATATACACATGTGTGTGTATGTGTGATTTAATTTATATATGATTCTGATAATATATATATATATATTTATAGTCAAGAACATCTATATAAATCTGCTCATATCGCAGAGATCTTCAAGATTGTCTATATTTGTTAGTCAAATTACAAGATCCGGATTAGGACCAAAATGCCGGTGATCCAGACGTCGATGTCCGGGGGAAGCATCCCCAAGATGGCCTAAAATCTGCTGTGTTTCTAAGAAATAAGTTATCCAGTTAGATGGTAGAATATTTGAAGCCAGTTTTGTTCTTTTAATATGTTTAATGGAACTATATGGAACTTGAAGCCAGTTCTGAAATTGAGGGTCGCTTGAGTAGCATTTTGTTTGGGCATTGGCTTTGGCTTTTTGCGCCACGAGGCATGCAAATTTGGATTCGGGGCTCCTGCCACCCGACTAGCAGATGAGGGCAGATTGCGGTGGGACTATGGGTGGTGGAGGATTTCTTTCCATTGTCGTTTTTGGAGGCGTTCATCTCCCAAACAACGGAGAGAGATGACTTGAGCCCCCAAATTGCATACGGTCGCGTGATTTGTTCGATTGGAATGGAATGTATGCATATATGAACGTACAAGGACACACACTTTAAATTTATACGTTGATTTACAATTCACTTGCTTACATACATTATTATCATTATTATCTTATATCCATCAATCTATTTATATATATAAATATATATATACAATCTTATCTCAATCTAATCTAGTCTAGTCCAATCTAGTCTAGTCTAATTCTGATCTCATCCAATCTAATCTATCCTATCCTATCCCATCCTATCCACCTTACCTATTCCCATCTAGTTTATTGATCTATCTATGCAGTCGCCACTGTACCATTTGTTTCAGCTAGAAACTCCGAGGCTCTACTGGCTGGAGCACTATCCAGGTCAGCTGGGGTGTCCAGTGGGTTCCAGATTCCAGTCTCTAGATGCCCCAAAATGGTTGGTTTATACTGTAATTAATTGAAAATCCCATTAAAATGGTTGCATGCCAAGTGTGTGCCATTGATTTTTTGTGCGATATTTCGATGTTCTTTATTGACTTTTAATTGTTGTTCTTTCGGTATCTCCTGGAAACTGTTTCACAGACACCTATTGGATTGCGGGGCAGTGGGATGAACTGAGTCTATGATCTTATCCTTGTGCAATCAAACGCGGCAATGGACAAATTTAACCTGCGACAGAAAATATGTTGTAATGACATATCATTATATTCGATTATATTCCGTGATTTTTTAAATGATATGTGTAATGAATGGTATAGAATGATATATTCCATGATATTCCATTATGCATGATATATGGGAATCATTATAATCATCCAAGCATATTATTACCATATATTATACTGTCAAAGGGAACTGAACACTAGGACACTTGTGATGTACATGCTTAACTGTACATCTGGACGCCGTACTGGCTCAAGTCCGTGTGCGAGGAAAAGGGTCCGAGCTGCGCTTGCCATGCACCATCAGTGTCCGGCAATACTAGCATAACGGGTACCGCAATTGATAACTACATCCGGAACAAGGATTCATTTGTTCACAGGTTATCAGCCGTAGGGCTCACTTCTCCCGCCGGGAGAGTGGTACCTGCGTGCTGGTAGCCGGGCCTTCTGAGCAATTGATTGAGGACGCAAAGGACCAATCAGCTCACCATCGCAAAGATGCAAGGCGGCAGCGGAGATTCGCGCACCACGCAGTTTACCTTCAATGAGAACGCTGCTATGCCGGTCGAGGAGGTCAATCAATCTTCCCCTGGCGACACGGCAGACAGTGGCGGGATACGCTCTACCCGAACTACACAGTCCGGATGGCAAGTCACATCAAACAGACGAAGAATATCCACCCAAAGTACACCTAGATCTTCTCGAAACAGTGCTCGAAGTGATGTTGTCCGCCAAGGGCATCGACCATCTCGAGGACGTACTACTCCAAGGGACAGATCCACCAGGGCCGTGACCGACCGAATTGGTGAGAGGACCGGGGATAGTCGTGTTAAGAGGAGATCAACGGATACTTCTGTGGCTAGTGAACCTATTGCCATGATAGAAGAACTACGGGCACAATGTCAATCCCTACGTAATCAGCTGAACAACATGGAAGCATACGCTGCATCCAGGGATCAACTGATTCATGACATCGAGATCAGGTTCACTGAGTATCTTCGGGAACACAATCAGAATGTATTTGATGAGGTCAATGCACTCAATCATAGATTGTCATGTTCCGCAAATGAGGTTGCAGAATATCAAGCAGAACTAATGGTAGCATCTCAGGAAGATGAAGGTGCAACAATACGCATCCAAGACCTTGAACGCCGAGGTGCCCTAATGGAACATGGTGCACGACGGATCCATCAACGTGGTATGGAGATCCAGGAGGAGTACAAGGATGAAGTACATCACCTTCAAGGACTACTGGGTAATACGGAGGCAAGACTACAACAACTTCATCAAACCAATGTCTTAACCACCGATATTGCCAATCGACTATACAATGAAGGTCAAGAAATGCAAAATGATTTCCAGAACTCAATCATGGAATATCGTAATCGATCTGAAATGGCATCCCCCTCTAGTAATCAACTTGAAGTGATTAGCCAGCAACAATCAATTGCAGTTCATGAATTATCTGAGCGAAATCAGCTATTGAGTGAAGCCTTGGTTCAGTCTCGTAAACAGGCCGAGCTGTATGAGAGCAGTATTGATGAGATCACTAGAGAGTCTAGGAAGAAGGTGTTCGAGGCAAATCAGGCCAAATTGGAAAGTGATCTGAAGCATCGAAACACTGAACATGATACCGTCAAAAGAATTGCATCATACAGGAACCAAGAGGCCGAAGCAATATCTCACCTGAGGCTTGAATCACAGGCTAGTGCAAACTCGATCGCAAGGGCAGAGCACTATGAAGAGCTCTATGCCAACGAGCAGAAGATGAACTGCGAATTGAAGGATGAGATCAAGTTGCAGAACACGAAGTTACGAAGATCGTTGACTCAGGGTTCTACGACCGACGGTCGTGGCCCCGAAGAGATGCTTGTTGAAGATCTACGTAATCAAGCTAAGATCGCTCAAATCAGGGTTCAGGATCTAGATCATGAAGTTCATGAATGCTTACAAGAGAACTTGTTGTTAAAAGAAAGGTTGGCTGAAGTTGCGGATGTAGGGGCGTCGTCCCTCACCAATGCTGAGGTCCGAACTCTAAGATCTGAACTAGAGAGTGAGCGAAAATTAAAATTGGCGAGTGGTGTTCAACAATATGAGAGATCATGCATGTTCATGGGGGAAATCCAGGATAGGGATGAAAAGATTGGCATCAAGAATTCTGAGATTGTTGACATGAAACGTCACTTAGATGAACTGAGAAAGAGTCTCAAGGATTCTGAAACATCTATGGCTAGGATCAGTCCTGACACACTTCCCTATTCGGCAGGCATTCCCAACTCCGATCTCGCATCCAGACTGGTCATCGACAAACTGGAGAATGACGTGAGTGAGGCTAACTGTGAAAACGCTATTCTGAAATCTTGGGTTTCGCAGATCGACAAGGAGTTGACTTATGAGACAAATGTGGCTCATTCCTATCGTGGGCATGCTGTACCTCCTCAACAACCACAGCATTCTCAATCAAGCAAAAGAATCGCTGATCTACTGAAAGAGGTTGACAACAAGATCGCTGGCGGAACTGAGAGGGAATACTACAGGCCACCGAGTGGATGGGGCGGTCCGCCTGACCCTGATGGACCTCCGGACCCTTTTGGGCCTAACGGTCCAGGACCACCTCCTGAACCTCCTGGTTTGCCATCGGTTCGAGGATCACAACGCGATTCAGCAGATGATGTCTCCACAGCGGCTTACACTGCGGAAGAAGTACCAAGAATGTCAAGACGAGAGGCTGACAAAGTCTATGTTAGCCCATGGCCAAAGCAACAGAATCTTGGGGTTTGGCAATCAGATCTCATCAAGAGTGTTGTTCTTTCGGCAAATGATGGGGATAAAGCCGCATGGGAGGCATGGCTACAGCCGGCTATTCGACCAAATCCTGACATCGAGCTGTTGAATGACAGTGGGGGGCAACGGTATCAGTCCATCGACGCCAAGTTGTCAATTGCATTGTCAAACGTGATAGCCCAAGCCGGTGATGTTGCTCGTCATGTAGCGATCAAATTGAGATTGAGAACACAAAGTCATAGCCGAAGAGGAACCTATGTCATGGGACGGGAAATCTTGGCTTTGATTCTGGAGCACTTCAGAACCCCAGGTCAACGAGAAACATCCTTCACCATGGAGCACATCGTATCGATGAAGTATCTCGGTGACTCGAACCTAGAAGTGTTCTACGAGAAATGGATGGAGATGGTATCAAACATGATGCCGGATGACGTACCTCCTGATGATTGGCTTCGTGACGCTCTATACAAGAAGATTCGAAATTCGAGTCTTATGATGTTTGACATCAAGCAGTACGAGTCATGGATGGAAGGAGACCAAAGACGAAATTATCGCTACCTGTTGGATGTCATCGAAAGGCACATCTCCAGAATCAGAGAGGACAAGCATGTGGCAGCCAGAGAGAAGTATGCGAGAGACTTTGCAGGCGGCGGCAAACCTTCAGCTCCTGCTCCGAACCCAACTGCTGCTGCACCGGATGCAAATCCAAAAGCGAAGCCTAAAGCTACTCCCAAGGAGAAGGCAGCGCCCAAGGCGAAGGCCAAGGCCGATGCAGCTCCAGTTCTACCATCACCTCAGCCTAAACAGCATGCAAAAGGAAAAGGAAAAGGTCAAGGGAAAGGGAAGGATCGATCAAACGGCCGAAGTACCAGCCCCAGATCCAAGAAGAAGATCCCATGCCATTTCCACTTCATCAAGAAAGCATGCAGAAAAGGCAAGGATTGTGAATACAGTCACGACCAAAAGGTATTTGATGCGAACAAGAATGCAAAAGACAACGGTCGGAAGCCAGGAACTCCAAGAAGTCAGTCTCCGGCAAACAAGACCAAGAAGATTGATGAACCATGCTGGCATTGGGCTAAGGGCAAGTGTCGGTATGGAGACAAATGCAACAAACGCCACGATCCTCATCTATTCAACACTGCTCCAAACACTGAAGCACCAAGCTCAAAGGCTACTCCTGCACTTATCCATGATTGGAGTGATGATGAAGGGACGTTCCATAAGGTTGCATCGAACGTGATCAAGAAGAAGATCAGATTTGATGAGTCTAAAACTCAAGTTCAAACTTACGTGAAGAAGGACTTCGTGAAGTGCAGCCGGAAATCCCAAACCATCCCCAAAGGTCATGGTAAAGTTGGCAAGCCCACTGATCAGATAAGGAAAGATGAGCAATGGTCTTATTCATGCAGGTTAGCTTCGAGCCGAGGGAAAGCAATGGCTATTCTGATCGATGAGAAGGGTGAACACAGTGACATTGATGAAGTCCTGATCATAGTCGGCCCTAGCATGGACATCCTGATCAGACTCGACGTCGAGGACGGTGAGGTGTCCAGGGAAGTATTTGTGGAAAACTATGTTCAGCATATTGAAGGTCGATATGGTAAAAGGGGCAACACAATGTGTATCACTGTTCCTGTTGAAGAGAGAGATAAGAGATTCATATTGGATTCTGGAAGTGGCCATGATCTCATTTCATCCACACGAATAAGTAGAATGGATCTCCCAACATACGATGACAAGGTCGTCAACTTCCATACAGCAAATGGGGTAACGTGTTCGACCAAACGTTCAAGCATCAAGTTCGAGGCATTTAGCGAACCAGCAGAAGCTCACATCTTGGAGGACACACCCTCCGTGCTCTCCATGGGAAAGCGATGCGTTGATCTTGGTTACTCTTTTGTATGGCCGACCGGAAGAACTCCATTCATGTTG